GGTCCACGGGGGTGCGGACCCTCCCCCCCGCCGCCCGCCACGACCTGTACTACGACTACTCGGGCTTCCCGCCCGAGTCCTACTCCCTCAAATACCCGGCGCCGGGCGACCCGCAAATCGCCCGCGAGATCAAGTCGCTCCTCGACGCCCAAGGCCTGGCCGGCAGGCTGGACCCCAAGCGCGGCTGGGACCACGGCGTCTTCGTCCCCATGCTGCTCATCAACCCGGCCGCCGACATCCCCATTGTCCAGGTCTCCGTCCTGGAGTCGGAGGACCCCGAGCACCACCTGCGCATGGGCGCCGCCCTGGCCCGCCTGCGCGAGAGGAACATTGCCATTATCGGGTCGGGCTTCGCCTCGCTGCACAACTTTGCCGAGATGCGCAACCTCATGTTCGGCAGCCGCGGGTCCGTACGGGAGTTCAAAGCCGTTTCCGACGAGTGGAACGCCGCTCTGACCGGCGCCACGACCGCCGAGAGCAGGGACGACCGCTGGAACGCGCTCCGGGCGTGGCGGAAACTGCCGCATGCGAACCGGATGCATCCGCCGCGGGCGGGCGAGCATTTCATGCCGCTGCTCGTGTGTGCGGGCGCCGCGGGAGACGGCGAGAAGGCTGGTGTCTACAAGGATGTGTTTTCGGGGGTCGACATATTCACCTACTACTGGGGGGCGGAGCAGGTGGATTGACGTTGCGGAGGCATGTCTGAAGGACAGATGCGCATCGCATTTCTTGCTGCCTGTACACGTTGACCCAGCACCTGTTTAGCATTATGAAGAGCGTGGTAGCTATATCCTGTATAAAACCCGTACTAGCACGGGCTACTATTGAACTGCTTTAATCCAAGCATCGGAACGGCTTCTCATGTGGCTTGTGTGTTGTATACGTGTCCCTCCAGTGTCGTCCCAAGGCGGTACGGAAACATGCCAGGCAGTTCATCCAACAGTGGCTCTGTATGCAGCTACGTGATGCCGAGGCGTAAATACAACGCGATGGCAACGGCGACTTCTCCTCTTCCTGGGGCTGCAGCTTTTCTCTCTGATTGCTTGGATGCACGAATCTTGAGTAGCAGTTTAACAAAGGAGCTTGCCGAACGTGACGGCTCTAGTACATATAGACCCAATCGTGCCGCTGACACAAATGCTTCGTCCCCGCCGGCAACCCGAATACGTGTGGTAGGGGGCTCAGTGCAAGAGGGCTTGAAACTGTCTTTGATTTCAATCTGATAACTTGCTTGATAGTAGAGGTCCCTGGTTTCTCCCAAGTCCCTCGGGGCAGGAGACCCTTGTTCATACAAAGGATCGGTGAGCCTCTGGGCCTCGAAGCCCAAGGACTTCAACTAGGTCTCGAGCCTTGTGTACCTGGTAACTATCGTCGGGTTTCGAGAGTCGGTCCCGTGCCGCGATGCTACGTAGCTTCTGTGTAAGACTGCTCGGGCCCAGTCCCGTTGGGCGCGCCAGATCTTGTGGGAAAAAGCAGGTGCATGGCAAAGTAATCAAAAACCCTAGAGAAATATTGAAATGCAAGCACTACTGCGAACAAGTCTTGAACAAGATCTTCGGGACCGCCCGCCCTCCAAGCAGCATCTACATACTGCCACGAAGCGAGTGCCATCCTGGCGCGGTTTGCCGCACAGTCTTGGCTATTTCATTATACACCGTATTGAAACAAGAAAAAAAACACAAAGTATTTCAAATACGACAAAGACTCTAGTGAGAAGATTAAGAGTGTTGCGCTCTGGATTTGTGCTGCGTTAGGCTTTAAATTTGTGCACCAATGGACTTGTGATTGTTGAAAAATCACTCTTGATGGAACCTTTTGTCCGGGCGGTCCGGTTTGACTCTCTTGCCGAAAGAAATATATGCATGTTACACGGAAAAGGCCCAACAGATTGTGAAGCCCAACAAAGGGGCATCGCCGATACAGGACCTAGAGGTTACACGGACTACATATGTAAGCACATGACCCGCCGGGAGCCTTGGGCACATGTTCCTCTTATGTATATAGTAGTCACTGATCCCTTTCCTCTTGGAAAACCAAGGACCTTTGTCATCCTACAAGATTATTATTAAAAAGAGTTATTCCACTCTAAGCCCTTGATATCAAGCCCTTGGAGCGGGCTTGGAGCAAAATGACTCTATTTAATAATAATCTTGTAGGATGTTAAAAGGTCCTTGATTTTAAGGGAAAGGAAGGGACGAATAACCACCGTATATAGACGAAAGGAACAGCTGTGCCCAAGGCTCCCAGCGGGTCATGTGCTCAGTCTATGTAACCTCGTAGGTCCATGCGACGCCCCTTTGTGAGGCGTTGTTGAGCTCTGACCGTGTAACAGCGGAACGGGCAGCAGACGGGAAAAATACCGGTGAAGCAACAAAAAAAACATTTTATTCCAAGTCTATTGACACAATTGTGTGTAATTATCAATAATGAATAATAGTCTATGTAGTGTTTATAAACATTCCATCTTGAAATATACATGAGCATATACTGTATTAAGGAAATATATTATTTGATGTCAGTCAGATTGAAAAGGGAAATTCATTACTCTTTGAGTTGATGGGTTGCCAGAGTTTCATCAGAGAGGGCAGAGATCAATGCAGAGCATTTCCTCGTGTCAGACATTCCGGGGTTTGATATTATCAACCCAGATCGTGGCTAGCACATTTGCTTCTCCTTTTGGGCAAAAAATCTATGCACGCTAAGGGTGCTCGAGGAGAGAGAGCGCCACCCAGGACGTACCAGATTTTCCGTTGACAGCGAGATCCACGACTCGGGGGTGAGGCGAGAGACCCACTGGGAAGACGGCAGCGAGGTCGGCGTGCTGGATCCTGTCACGGCAACCCTTGAGCGGTACGCCTGGCTGCGATACTTGCCAACCCACAGCATCTGCTCGTGCTCTCGAAGATATCGCTCCGACGAGAAGTTGTTGAGCACATTCTGGCGGCCGCGCATGCCCAGTGCACGACGCTGCTCCGTCTTGGCGTAGATGCGCTTCGAGATCTGCTCCACCTGCTCCGGCGTCGGCATCGGGTATCCCAGCACCGGCACCTCGGCGCCGGGCGGGTCGTCAGCGTACTCTGCCCACCGGCCGAGAAGTCCCATCACACTGATCTGCGCCCGGGCCAGCGACTCCGAGTCGTTTGGCGGCACCACCTCGCTGAACCGGTCGCCCGTCGCACGGTCCGTCACCACACAATACGAGGCTCCCACGTCGGTGCACACTACGGGCACACCCGTCAGCGCAGCTTCGCCCATGGCCAGGGGCAGGCCCTCGGAGATGGACGAGTTGAGGAACAGCCAGGCGTCTTGGAGGACCACTGACGGGTTGCCAAGGCCCTTGAGGATGCAGTAGTCCTGAAGGTTCTTGGAGGCGATGAGCTCCTGACACTCGGTGGCAATGGTTGCGGCACGCTCCTGATCGCCGTACACGTGGAGGCGATAGTCCTTGATGCCCCATTTGTTGACAATAATGTCCGTCGCCATGATAGCGTTCTTGATGTCTTTGGCGTACTGAACATGTGACAACATAACCACTGTAGGCTGGTTGGTCTTGATGGTCTTGATGGGCTCAAACTTTTCCATGTTACAGATGCCATTGACGACAGGGTCAATCTTGCGCTCAAAGGTCCGGCGATGCTCGATAACACCCTCGGCGGTGCCAAGCTCCACCTCCCATCCGGGGTTGAAGTAGTCACAGCAGGGTAGAACGACATCAGCGTGGTGTTCAAGCAGAACGCAACTGAGGTGTGTCAGAGAAATGAGAGAGCTGTTGACAAACGGCGCGTCGTACGAAACGGCCGAGCTCATAAAAGTAGTAAATTCTCGGTAACTAATACAGTGGTCCCAGATGTGCAGGGTGCAGTTGCGCTTGGCCTTGCAGACGATGCCGTACGTTGCTCCCGTGAAGTGGTGCGACGCTTGGAAGACATCGGGGATCTCCTCGGGGACGGGCAGGGAGAAGATGAAAAGGTAGCGGCACCACAAGTCCAGCGCGAGATCGAGCTGCTTGAGGCTGGGCTTCTCGAAGTCCCACCACTGGGAGATGTTGAAGGCACCCTCCAAGCTTTCCGTCAGCCATAGCTCGCGCCACTTTTCCTTGACAACGGGGTGCTGCCAAACGTCGTTCCAATTACGGGTTTTCTCAAAGTAGGTGTTGAGGTCCACCAAGGCCCTGGTAGCCTCCTCGATGTGCTGGCGGTTCAAATGAGTAATTCGCGAGCATTTGACGAGGCTGCTGAGAATGGGCAGGAAGTTTTGTGTGATATCTGCAGTGCGCGTCATGTGTGACCGCTGCACCACTGCCGAATCAAGACTTGTCTCCAGCACACCGTGTGTGGGATTCAGGAAATCCAAACCCCAAAGTGGCAATATGGTCAGAGACTGGACATTTCGCTCAATTTGGAACCGGGGAACGCCATAATCATTGGCTGACTCGGCGACGACATGCCATTTGATTGTTTTGGGGTCGTTGACCATGTCCCGTCGGCAGGCAGACACACCACCGGGGTCATTGGGCCAAGTCGAGGTATCCATGGCAAGAACATGGAGCTCCTCAGGGGTATCGTGGAGCTGAGATTCCAACTTGCGGGTGTTGATACGAGCGTCGCCACCGGGACCAAAGCTATACAAATCAGCAATCTTGTAGGCAATGTGCACCCATGGGCTAATGGTCGAGTCAAGGTCAACCCGGGCCATGATGGTATCAGCCTGAGCATCAAGGTACTTCTTGGCAGCCTCCAGACGACCAAAGTCGCGCTTTCTCCAGTAAGGGCGCATGATATAGTCAGAGCGGAGCAGCTTTTCGTCCAACCATCTGGCACTAATGGCGTCCACTTCGCGGCCGTCCTTCCATGCCTTCCAGAGTTGAGTACGCGCAACCGAGGTAGGGATCGGGTATCGCCTGATGTTGAATCCCAGAAGACGAGATACGGGGTTGGTCTTAATGGATGAGAAAGGCAGGAGCGGGTTCTCGCTCTGAAAGCTGCACTTCTCGGGCTTCTGCAGGACCTGAAACCAATCCTCCTTGATCATGGGTGGGGTCGTTATAGGGTTCCCGTTGAGAGTGACCGACAACTCGGGATGAGATTTGTGTTCAAAACCCCAAGAGGCGTGGTACACATCATGACCATGGATGAATGTAGCCTCCGTTACGGTAGAAAACGGGATCCATTGTTCCAGACGCTTCTGAGGATTGCGGGGAGGCATGCTCCAAAGCACTTTCACGGTAATGTGAGGGAAGGTGTATTCGGCCCAGAGCAACTCATCCTCGTGCTTGGCGTTCTTACGATACCAGAACTTCCAAGTGACTCGGTTGACGCCTCTCATAGCGGAACCAGACGTGATGTAACCTCGACGATCATATTGGACAATCTCGCCTTGGCGATCGCCGGATAAGCACTGACGCTGAAGGGGAAGTCTCGAATCGCCGTTCTCGTACTCATACTGGTATGAGCTACTGACAACCCCCTTGCTGTAGACATCCCTCTGTTGCAAGACCAGCTTGTTCGTGTACATGTTCACGGCCATCAGCTTCTGAATGTTGCTGGGTTCACTATCATGGCGACCCTGATATTGAGACACTCTCAAGCTACCGTCGGCCCGAACAGTCCAGAACCAGGTAGATGGGCCACTAAAGCTTTCGGTGACGATCTTGCGCTTCTCCAGAACAGTTGTCATGCCTTTGATGTGTTTCTGGACCCTGGCCACGTGCTCACGACCGTGGAATAGAACCAAGGGAATGAGCACGTTCTGCCAGAATTTACAATAGGACCAGATAGTGTTGAGAAAGAAGACCAATGGCCAGCGAACGAAGCCCGGCTTATCCTGTATTACAAAGTCCAGCTCCCTCTGGTACTCCGGGTCGGCAATCAAGGAAATGATTAGGAACTTGATGCACAGATTGACATTTTGAAGAATACGTGATGAAGTAGGCTTGATGAGGGATGCAAACCCCGTGCTTGGCATCTCATCACCGGATTGGACACTGTCCCCACGGTCTTCGATGTCGGCGTGAGGTGGGTTCTCAAGGTAGCCGTCAGCCTCAAGATCGTGCGCATATGCGAGGATGGCGGTGGTGAGAGCGACGCCCAATTTGCAGCGAGCAATGTGACTTTCTACATTTCCGGAAGAGCCTTGAGAGAGGAGTCTATGATGCAGCCAGCTCTCTTCGCCATCTGACAACGGTCCAGCCCATCCATCACAGCGCTGAAGCAGGAAGCGCCGAATGTGCTCGGGGAGCAGGTCCCACTCCACCTCCAAGTCCACGCCGAGAAGAATGTAGCGGAGGAGAGTCTGGTTGCCCTCACGAATCACCCGAGTTCGCTCCGCGGACGACATTTTGAGCTGGCGCTTGACTCCTTCGGGAATCGATATCTCGATGTTATCAAAGTGATCGACAACCAGCAGCTCAGCAAGGATAGAGTCATGGCAAGACAAGCCGAGTAGGTGCTGTGCGGTGGCCCTGATAACCGCCTCCGCGATGACCTTCCAGTGACGATACATTGTCAATGTGCGATGATTGTCCACGGGGTGCGAGTCGAGAATGACCAAAATGTGCAGTGTTTGGTCACAATGACGGCTAATGGACCGGATTTCAATGTCCGACTGGGAGAAATGATGGGAGGACACGAGCTCGACAACAATCTTGCCATTCTCCCAGTTTTGCACAGCCACTTGGAGCAGCTCGTTGGCTGATGGGAAGGCGTCTGTGAGGATTTCCGGACTTTGCGACATCATATGCGAAGAAAGAAGTTCCACAACTCTCTGACCAGGATGCTCAGCTGAATCGAGAAAGTACCGCTCGTCCGCCGGGAGATTGCGGGCCGACTCAAACATTTTCGAAAGGGTGCTCTGGGATAGTTCTGGGAGGGGCTGCAGAGCACTGACAGAGTAGGTAATTTTGGAAGACTCGGCGTTGTGCTTCTCAGCGGATACCTCAGACTTTGGTGCAGACTTGAAGAAGGTTGGCCAACCCAGGTTGGCGGAGAAGAAAGACCAAATGCAAGACACCCACGTGGCAACACCCAGGCATATGAGACCGCTATACGAGAAGCCAGGCATACCCTTGTGAAGGGCAAGACCAGTGGGAAGACCTGCGAGAGCGCCAACAGCGAGGGCAGCGGCGCCGTTGGTTCCGCAGAAGATTTTGTTGAACTGATATCCCAGTAGACCGGAGTAGGCAACGATGTATCCCAGGAACATGATGGTGTTGTCGCGCGAGGACTGGAACACCCACATAAGAGCCGCAAAAATGGCAGCGCCCCAGATGTGGAAGAAGAAGAACTTGCAAAGTGACCTCCAGTAGAGCCTGCGCCTGGCTTGGGACTCCTCAGCATTGATGACTTTGAGGGACTCGAGTGAAGTGATGGGCTTGGTGGACTTCTCGTTGGCGGCTGTCCACAGAGGCTGAGACACGATGTCAAGAGAGACTGCACCAACGAGGTAGTAGCAGAGACCAAAGCCAATGCCAAGCCGAAATTCCTCGCTGCTGGCGGCGGAGAGACCGACCAGGCCGCCGCCAGTGAAGAGAGCGACCCATTTGTCCAAGAGAGCCACGACGAAGTAGAGCAGACCAGACCAGATGTCGCGGCCAGTAGCTCGCCAGTGCAAGAAGGCGCTGTGTAGCTTGAGTCCCTTCTGCATGTTGGTCAAGTTCTCCATGCCGGCCTTGAGAGTAAGGTTCCATGTGGTGCTGTAGGGAAATGGCAAGCGAGATCTCTTGTGTCTGCAGTACCATCGCATGAGGAACATGGTAGACTCGTAACCTTCAGCCAGCTTCCTAACGAGCGGATCTGGGGAACGCTTGGAGAAGTAGAAGCGGTTGCACTCCTTGAGAACAGCAGCGTGAATCGCAGAGCGCGCTATAGGCATCATGTCCTTGTCATCCAGGTTGGCGAGATCCGCGGCCTCAGCTTTGGTGCTTTGGCGATACCAGCCGATAACCTCGGCGTCGGTGACAAAGGGGATTTTGAGGTACCAAGAGCTCCACTGCGAAATGGTGCTCTGGGCGCCCACCAGGAGAGCAATCAAGAAGCAGCTCAGGACCGGGAGGTAGACAACGATGTCGTTTTCCGTGAACATGCTGACAATGGGGGAGATGCAAAGGATCGGCATGCAAGAGAAGATGACGGTTCTACCCGAGAGGAAGCTCGACCCAGGCAGCTGGTAGATGGATAGGGCATTTAGGACCAGCAGATATGTGGACAGCATGAGGAAGTAGAACAAAAAGATGAGTGCAGCCGACAATCTCTGCACCAAAGCGACCACAATAAAGCCGCCAATGGCGGCGATGATGCTTGTCGCGAAACCGGCAATCCATCTGGTCAACACGAACAAGTTCATTGCAGGAAACGTGTTTGCGTAGAAGTAGTAACTTCCACCTGAGCAGATCCAACCACCAAATGCACCGCTCATCAGCAGGGCCAGCATAAGAGCCGTCGTAGCCATCGTCTTTTGCTCCGAGGACATAAAGGTGGTTAGGTATAAGCCGCGTCCAATGGTGGTCAGCAACATGACATCGATGAGTGCAGGGACGGCGAAAATGGCAAAAAAGGTAATCCTGTATGCGACAGTCACCTTCTCCTTGCCGTCGTCGGGGTCAAAATCGACCTGCATGGCAGCATATGCGGTGGGGAGCTCCGTAAACATCTCGTCACGCATGGGTGGCTGATACTTCATGTAGTAGGCACGGTAGCGGTCAGCAATGATGCGACCGACGGCGCGAGGGGTGGTATCGAAGAAGGAGTCGCAGCGCGAGCCCAGAGCAAAGTTTTCCGCAAAGCAGCCCGCCTGATCGGCAGCGTGGTTGGGATATACGTTGCGATCAAGGACCTCGAGGTAGACTTCGTCAAGCGCAAGCTTGCGGAATGCGCTGAAGACGGCGAGGGCGAAGATGTCGACTCCAGCATCGACTTGGCCCTGCTGCACGAGTTGCTGTATACCGCGACTCAGCTGCTCAAGAGTAGAGGTTTCACCCTGCATGAGAACAGCGTACAGGCGGTCTCCGACGTCGTGGAAAAGTTGAATGGCCCTGGTGCGATCGGGAGTCCAGCATCCCTTGCCGGCAAGCCATGCCAGGCGGGCATCAACCAGCGTTTCAGCAGAGATGTTGCCGCTCAGGTAGTCAACAGAGCTGAGGACGCGCTGCTGGGTGAGCGACGGTATATCGAGCAGTTGATACTCGAGGCAGCTGCGAACTCGGGCCAGGAACTGCGAGCTTGCTGTAGAGGACTGGAGTCGTCTGAGGAACAAGATGGCCTCGGCCGGTGAGAGGCGCTCAAGATCGTGGACAATGCGAGTACACAGCTGCCACGAGTCGTCAAGACGTCCCGTCTTCTTGGCCAAGGCCTGCTCGACTAGGAAGCACTCGGCACATGTCAGTTGACGGCTGGAGAGGAATGTGTGCAGAATCGTTCCTGTGCGGTCCTTGGCCTTGTTGGACAGGTACAAGGTGATGGAATCCTCATGGCCGAGCTCATAGACACCCCAGTACTGCGTCCCGGAGCCAGTCTGGAAGCCTGAATGCAGGCCGGAGAAGACCTTGATGCGTGCATCTTGCTCATTGTCGGGAGTGCATGTGCCAAGGAGATCGACGAGGTCGTGGATGGCACGGAGGGTCCTTGGGCTGAGGTCGGCGTCGTCGCACAGTGTCTCGATTTGACTGCGCACGTTGCTCAGCTCGTCGGGCTTGAGCTTCGCCAGCAGATCAAGCTCGGCAAGGTTGCTCTGGTTCAGGCGAATTTGTGCAAAGTCGGCAAAGGTGGCCTTGTGGCCGAGTTGGAAGCAGCCAAGCCCCACGGAGTCGAGATCGAGGTCGAGGTCGAGGTTGCTGCTGTTCCTGGACACGACGGACAATGCGTGTGCGGCTCGTGGAGAGTCGAAGGGAGAATCGCTTGGAACGAGCGCGCCTCGCAACGGGGCGCCGTGCCTGGAAGCCGGCGGCGGGCCTGGCTGGGAGACATCAACTGCCGGTGGCAGAAGACGGAGCTGTGCCGAGCGATCCGTAAGAAACGCGGAAATAGAGTCATAGATTGCATCCCGGCTGGTCGAGGTAAGGGAGATCTATATTAATTAATACAGGTCAGCTATACAAGGTGCCAAGGCCGAATGCGGGGCCATTCCAGCGCTCATGGGTTAGGGTTACTCGCTTACCTTGTTGTTCGCACGCCAAGTGTCGTGGGCGCCCATGTTCGCCTCGTTCTTCAACCACATGAGGGCTCCCAGAGGCTTGGTCGCGATGGACCGAGTGTGCGCACGCTCCGCATCCAGCAACCATCACCTGCCGGTGGCAGAAGACGGAGCTGTGCCGAGAGATCCGGAAGAAACGCGGAAATAGAGTCATAGATTGCATCCCGGCTGGTCGAGGTAAGGGAGATCTATATTAATTAATACAGGTCAGCTATACAAGGTGCCAAGGCCGAATGCGGGGCCATTCCAGCGCTCATGGGTTAGGGTTACTCGCTTACCTTGTTGTTCGCACGCCAAGTGTCGTGGGCGCCCATGTTCGCCTCGTTCTTCAACCACATGAGGGCTCCCAGAGGCTTGGTCGCGATGGACCGAGTGTGCGCACGCTCCGCATCCAGCAACGCATCGGCGTGACCTATCCAGCACAGCGCGCTATTGTACGTGCACCAGCTGTACGCGCGCATGACGACGGCGAATTGCATCTGCTTGTCGTCGTCTACCGTCTCCCACATGACGAGCGCAGGGCCATGGGCCACACGCTGTGCGGCAACTGCACGCATGACGGTACGCATCGCCTCCATCTGGAAGAAGTTCTGCCTGTCGCCATCTTGTCGAATGGTGCCGTTGCGGTAAACGATGCCCTTGATGTGCTTCATGTCCAGGGCGCGTGCCTCATGCTCGGCTAGGTACTCTGGGCACGACAGTTCAAGCCATACGTCGAGTCCGAGGTCCTTGATGTGTCGGCACAGCTCGTTCATAACTGGCGGCTGGAAATGCTCGCGGAAGCCGGCGAGCAACACGCCGCGGTACGCCGAACGCTCCCGGCTCCCGTCTCTCAGGTGCGAGTGCAGCGCCTGCGTGACCGTGGTCAGCTTCCTGATGACATCCTCCGGTTTGTCGCCCAAGTCATCGTGCTTGGTCAGCGCTTGCACGTCGATGCGGCCAAGGACATGTTTGGCGGTGGGCTGGCAGGTCTTCAATGCATTGGCGACGCCGTCCTGAAAGGGATCGACGACAAGGATGTCCCACCGAGAAAGAAGTCGATGCTGGACGGCGGTCGGCGGCTGAGAAAAGTTACCGAGGAAGACGCCGAAGGAGTTGAGTTCCTCCTTTGTAATCTTTTCTGAAGTGAAGCGTGTTTGGAAACTTTTTGAGCTTCGCCGCAAGCTGGCAAAATAACGCGCGATTTGACGCGGGAGCGAAGATTTCGGGCGTTTTGTCTAGATTCAAACCGTCATCATGATGAGTCCGATTGCAAGGCAGCGGCGGCCATCCCAAGACTTCTTACCTTGGCCCGTCGAATGATTAAACGGCAGCCGTTGTATAATAAATATGAAGATCCCAGTACAATGCTGGCGAGTATGAATCCAGCGAGGAGCTACAGACAATCGGATAGATAGCTTAGAGTCAGTATCAATGCTGTCTGTCGATCATCCTCCCCCCAGGATATGTGACGTTTCTTACCAAGTCCCACCAAGAGTCAATCATTAAATGCCAGCCAACGGCCGACAACCCCAGATGGCTAATGGCCATTCTGCATTAGGGGAGGCAATTCTGAAACCAAAAACAAAGAGGTAAAGAGAGGCCGGAACGAGAGGAGTACTAAGATTCGCTCATGTCAAGTTTACGGCGGAGTGCGGACTATATCTCACTCGTCAAGCGGCGACAAGATAGGCAGTGACAAAAAATAGCAACACCTCCCAAGTCCATTTGTGATACGTACATGTTCAAAAAGAAATAACACATATAGACAGGCTCATGCGTGCGAGCGAAGCCCCCACCAGCAAAAGCATGGCAAAGTTTCCCAAGGCCTTAGCCAGGGCCCCGAAACCAATGCATCCCGTTTACGAGATTTTACGTCTGGCTTGTCCGTTATTGGCGCCTCACCACGGCCCCTGCCTCTCAGCTCACGACGTGGCCAGACTAGTGCAGTAATCATCAAGCGTGTACTCCGTAGCCCAGGTACCCAAAGCTGTTTAGATGGCGCAGAAGGCGGTAGTAGGCAAGGTATCCGAGGACCATGCAGGCGCAGCCCGTGGCGCCACGGAGAAGAGCGTGCGTGTGCTCGTACATGACGGCTGAAGATACAGTGGCATAATAGGAGAAAGTCAGCCCTATGACTCGAGGCCGTGCAAGAAACTTGTAGTTGTCAGACCAGACCCTGACGATATCGTAGTCGGCCACACCGAATTGCTTTGATTTTTACGAGGCCGGACGACAACTATCAGCGTTTTTTTTTTCAAACACCCAGTGCCATACGAGGCTCTTTCACGCAGTAAACATCTCTCCATGCAGAACTCGCCCGGCTAGTAGAACAGCACATCCCGGACCCCGGGACCGGGCGACAGCCCCCATGGGCGTCAATATCGGTCAGGGTCAGACATGGGTGCAGGGTGTCAGTCGGCAGGGATCGCACCAACCACATGTACGACAGAACATGGGTCAAGAAACAAGAGTGGCCGAAACATACAGAAATGACAAATACGGGCTCAAGATGCTGACGATGGCTCAAGCTTCCGATTTGCACACAAGACAGGGATTTTGCGCTATCGACGTGCCCGGTTGCGCCATGAGGCTCCGCCGTAGAAACTGCCAAGCGTTGTGATACCATTTTTCATTTTCATTTTTTTTTAAGATTGGTGACTCAATGCAATTTCTGTTTCAATCAGTTGATCTGTGATTCGATGCCATTCTTTCTTTTCTTTTCTTTTTTTTTTCAAGCAGGCCGTCCGGCCAAGTTTACCCCTTTTTGAGGCTCTGCTCGGACTGTGGAACTTGCCATAAAGTGATCCTTTAATGTTTCAACGTTTGATGTTACAGTAATATAAGGCCGTGTGATGACTAAGTACAACCTGAAATAAAGTTGACCGTTGGCGACCACTGCCTCAGAATAGTCTTGGCGCACCAATCACATCTGCCCAGGCTCACTCCCAGTCAACCAAATAGACTTTTGGTATAAGAGCGAGCCGCCTTATAAGTATACACCCTGACTTCCTCCTACTTACTATTCTCTTGAAAGGAAGGAAGAAAGACCTGGTTGCGTGACCAACACCACCCCTCTGGTGAGCATGAACCTGCAACAGTATCTTCCTCGGCCCTGGCGGCGCACCAAGTGGTTTTGGCCAGCAGTGGTAGCCATTGCCGTTGCCGTCATCATTGTCATTGTCGTCCCTCTGGCCGTCCTGCTCCCGCGCAGGAACCGCAACCACCACCCTGCCGCCAACATTATCCTCCCTCTCTACATCTATCCGCAGGCCGACTCCTCCTGGGGTCCCGTGTATGACGCGTGAGTCCCCCAAGCCGATAACCCGCCGTGGCGGTGCGTGATGGGTGACGACTTACAAGAAGACACCGCAGCGTGAGTCGCCGGCCTGACCTCAACTTCACCGTCATTGTGAACCCCAACAGCGGGCCGGGGAGCAGCCCTTGGCCCGACGTCCATTATGACGCTGCCATACGCCGCCTCAACTCGTACCCAAATATAGAGACCGTCGGGTACGTACGGACGGGCTATGCCACCCGCAGCCTCGCCGACGTCACGCGCGAGGTGAGCGTCTACTCGGGCTGGTCCAGCAACTCCAGCGCGCTGGCCATGCACGGCATCTTCTTCGACGAGGCTCCGCACGAGTACTCGGCGGAGGCGGCCGCGTTCCTTCGCGCCGCCGACAGCTTTGTCAAGAGCGCGCCCGGGCTGCAGGGCCGCAAGACGGTACGCCCAAGCTTCTAGTCCGGCAGGGTCCGCGGAACCACCACGGACGTCTTGGCTGACTCTCTCCCAGATCATCCACAACCCCGGCGTCATCCCAGACGCCCGCTTCAACAGCAGCGACGTGGACATCACCGTCGTCTTCGAGGAGACGTTTGCAAAGTGGCAGGACCGGAGCACGTCTCTGGCCGCACTCCCCAAGACCAGGGGCGCCTACAGCATAATGGTCAACACGGTGCCCGCCATGAACAACGGCACCATGGGCCAATTCGTCAACTCGCTATCCGACCTGGCCAAGTACGTCTTCATCACTAGCCTCAGTGTGGATTTCTACAACTCCTTTGCCAACGACTGGCTGGACTTTGTCGGCCAGGTACCGGCGTAGAGGGCCCTGGCGTGTTTGCCAGGGCAAGGAAACGAGGGGGGGAGCAGATTCAAGACCCTAATAGAGTTAATAGGGTTTTTTCCGTGCAAGAAAATCCTTGATGCATTTGCGTACAGGGATGGCGATACGGAGTGTAGCTGAGGCTGGTTGTACACACCGTCATGTACGTTTCGCATAAATCTTTTTACCCGACTAATCACACACACACACACACTATTCACACACCTAAAATCAAAACCACACTACCAGCTTGACCCTCTTGGGAAACGTCATGGCGTGGCATCAGCCCGGCGGTGGATGACAAGCCGGCCAACCAGAGGCCGCACGTGGCGCAGGTGAAAGTTCAGATGAAACAGGCAAGAATTCGAGACAAGGCTGGACACCCAGGTATCTTACGATGGCGAATACGCTAGTGCTCTGGTGCAGAAACGCCGCCCGGAAGTCTGCCGGTGGACGCAAGTCAAATAAAAGGCGCCCTGGCGCAACGCCACGTCGCACAGGCAGGCAGAGAGAGAGAGAGAGAGTGAGAGAAAAGGAGAGGCAGCCTCTCCACCATAATGCCATCATGCATATATACGGAGTACCAGTGATTCAGTGAATACATGACATCCTAGACGGCGCCTAACCACTCCAACGTGGCGCAGACACCATGCTCCTCCCCATGGCCGTCACGAGAAGGCGTCGACATGTGTCAAGCGCTCTGCTCAACCAGGCAGCCTCAAGCTGTCCCATGCAGCGACGCCTCGGCCACGGCCGCCACGAAACTGGGCCAGCTGGTTCCAAAACTCTCGTAAAAGTCCTGCACCAGGTCCGTGGCAAAGACGTACCGGCCGCGGCGGCACAGCTCCTGCGCGACGGCGGCCACCTCGTCGGGGGGGATCCCCGAGATCTGGTAAATGCACCGCTCGTGTTCGGGCGCCAAGTCGGCCAGCCGCCTCTGCAGGCCGTCCCTCTGGTAGAGGTGGTACGGCTCTTCGCAGACACACACCAGGTCAGGGTTCCCAAATGACGCGAGCTCGCCTTCCGGGGGCGTCCCGGGGTTGTGTACGACCTGGTCCGCCAGTTAATAACTTGGAGTCTTGGACCCGCCAACCCAACATTGAACGAACGCTCTCCGATATTGCAGGCGGCATATAGGGCAGCCCTTACCGTGCGCTCGCCAGCCAGCCCTCTGCTGCTCTTGACGAAGCGGCCGACGCGGTCCAGGTACTGCGCCCTGTCCGCCGAGTAGTGGTTGGGCGTCTCGTCCACGTAGATGCCCCGGACATGGAGCCCGGGCACGTCCTGGTGCTGGCTCCAGCGGGCGTACCTGTCAATCTCCGCGCAGGTGTCGGCCAGAGGCTTCCTGCAGTAGTCTACGCGCACGTAGCCGACTGTGCGGACGTTGGGGAAGGCATTCAACCGCGGCACTTCGCGCACGTAGTCTTTGCCGGGCAGCGGATCCGTCCCGGGGCCGCTGTTTGGGTTCACCACGACGAGGAAGTTGACGGCCGGGTACGAGGCGATTCTGCGGTAGAATGGGGAATCGTTAGTCTCGACCTGTCCCGCCTCGTATCAGGGTCGGCATGAAGAGGAAAGAAACCTACGCATCATACAACGGCTTCCAGGTGGCTTCGTCCAGTGGATAGTAGTATAGTGGCATGACCACCCACGGCGTCTTTTTGTCATCCATTGTCGGTGTGGATGCTGGGCAAGATGCGGAAAAAAAAAAAGAACGAACGAGGAGCAGGGGTCTTCTGCCCGATAAGACGCGGGCTGAAAAGTCCTTGTATTTATAGCATCGTCGTGGCTTGAAGAGTCAATGCTGCCCAGCGGCCTGACCTCTCAGCTTCGTATACTTCATGTGGATCCCAGAGGCTTGCGTCTGCCAGCCCTATCAGCAGGCTATTGCCATGGCCATTGCCATTGCTGGTAAGCCTGGGCGGCGCGTTCCTGGTGGCTGTCAAAACCTGCATGTGTCCATCGAAAAGCTCCATGTCACCATTGACACTTCAGCTCCGAAGACGCCACTGTGATCCCGGCCGCCGACTGACCCAAAAAAAAAAAAAAAAAAAAAGGCCGTCTAGCCCTGGTTTTGGTGATTCATGGCTGCATCCGACGTGTAACTACATGGATTGGGCAGCAGGTCGGAGTGACGACGCGCAGGCACAATATATTCAGCCTCGCAATTCAACACCCATGTGCCGTGGTTATCTAGAACAGGTTCTACCGCGCGATTACGCGCCACAACTGGCATGGCAGAGAAGTCCTGAGAGCTGGCAATATCCACAGAATGGGCTCAGCATGATATGTATACAGACCAGACCAGACGACTTCTGCGTCGGCCCCGTGGCAACAAGGCACATCCCGAGGCCGGTACGCTCTCCATCCAGTCTGGTATTGCACAATGCATCGTATCTCGACCCTTGTCCGAGGTTGTTTGACCACCCTTGCAGGGGCGAGCCAAGTCTGCTGCGGATTGCTCCGTCCAAGCTGCAAGTGCAAAGACTATTTGCTCCGTCGTCTTCTGCGAGGACTTGGCCGGCACGGTTTGCGCCCGGCTTGATCCTCACCGTAGAGCACGGTACACCTCTTCGCTCACCAAGGATCAATCTCATGGTCGATAAAGCAGACGGCACTAGTCGGAAGCGGTACCAGAGAATATCAAAGACACAAGAGTTGATTCCCATCACGTCTTGTATGTCCACGCCATGTTGCGGTTCTTATACGGCCCGTCAAGCCGCCAAGCCTCGCGTCATGCGTCAAGTAAGACTATCCAAGCTCTGGAGGCACCTGCTCGGCCAACCTTTGACTGTCTGGTTGCTTTTCCCCCCGAGTCTTTTTGATTTTGGCAAGGAGCTAGGACACACGATATTCCATTCATCTCCCGTTTGATATTTTTCCCACCTGTGCTCGTCATCTCGTCGGCACGGCCCTCCTCCCCTCCCCCCCTTTTCTTCCTTCCAAGGACGCTTATGGAGTCCTTCGAATCCTCCCCGGGGACTCTGTCTCGCGACTCGGCAGATAGCCCACCAACAGTCGCGACATGGACCACCGAGCCCGATGTTTCGCTCCTCGACGTGCCCCTTGATGACGGCTTTGGAGTCTTGTCGGCGGCGTCTCTGTCCGCCCGGCGCGAGCAGTATGTGCTGGTGACGGGCGGCCTCGGCTTCATCGGGAGCCACACGGTCGTGGAACTCCTCAAGGCCGGATACAATGCCATCATTGTCGACGATTTAAGCAACAGCTACCGCAGCGTGCTGGACGGGATACTAGAAATAGCTCGCCGCCACTACGACAACAGTCGCCAGGGCACACGTCGCTGCCCCATGGTCGAGATGCACCAGACGAGCTACCGCGACCTGCCGGCCATGCAGTCCATCCTGGAGCTGCACTCGTTCCCCAGCCCGACGGGCGAGATTGTGCGCTCCAACATTGTGGGCGTCATCCACCTGGCCGCCTACAAGGCCGTCGAGGAGAGCATACGCCAGCCGCTCCGGTACTACCAGAACAACATCAACGGGCTGGTCGACTTCCTGGCGCTGCTGGACGAGTTTGGCGTCAAGACCTTCATCTTCTCCTCCTCGGCCGCCGTCTACGGGTCGCTCTCGGCCGGGGGCCGGGCCCTCCGCGAGGAGAACTGCGTCCACCAGTACGAGCTGGCGCGGGAGGAGCCCGGCGCGGCGCCCTCGCCGCCGCAGTCGGGCTGCGCCAGCATCACCAACCCCTACGGGCGCACAAAGTTCTTCGCCGAGGCCATCCTGTCCGACGTGGTGACGTCGGACCCCTCGTGGAACGTTGTCGTGCCGCGCTACTTCAACCCCGTGGGCTGCGACGACTCGGGCCTGCTCGCCGACAACCCGCGCGGCGTGCCGTCCAACCTGGTCCCCGTCGTCACCCAGGTCATGACGGGCCAGCGGGCCGGCCTCAAGATCTACGGCGGCGACTGGGACACCCGGGACGGCACCGCCGTCCGCGACTTCATCCACGTGAGCGACCTCGCGCGCGGCCACACCGCCGCCCTGGTGGCAGGC